GAGCTTGGAGATGTGGGCATGGTGGTGTTGGGTTGATGGTTGGACTCGATGATCTTGGAGGTCTCTTCCAACCTTAATGATTCTATGATTCTATGAAGGCCTCTGAGGCCTGTCGTGTCCCTGCTTTTCCATTGTTGGGTGAAACAAATGTCTTATTCAAGCCTCGCAGTGCCTAGCGCTTGTACACAGCGCTGCGTTACATACATCAGCCGTAAGTGCCTGTCACTGGCCCCGCTTGGGGTGTCCCAGGCACAGCTGACTGCATTCCAGGACAGGCAGGGCCAGCGCTGGCTCTCCCCCGAGCCGAGGCTGTTTGATATATTCATGTGTGCCTGTCGCACTGCGCTCTTCCTCCCCCCAGATCTAACCCCGACTGACCTGCCCCTTGCGCTGTTCTAGCCAGTGTGAGAAAATAGACTCCTGATGCACTGCCTGACGCAAGGGCCGCTTACCAAAGTGCGGAACTGGACAAGATCTGTGAACTCGCCAGGAGTTTGTCTCCTCGGTCAATTTGTTGAGGTGCTGGACTACAGCTCTGGGGGACAGAAGTAGCGTTTGCGCGGGCACTGCTAGAAGTGTCTTAGACTTGAATTATTGCCTAAATTTAGGCTGTGTCCAGGTGAAGTCTTAAACCTACCTGGGATCAGGTAATGTAGTAACTTGTTCTGTGAGGCTCCATTTCCAGCAGCAGCCAGTGCCAAATACCTCCCCAGAGGGAGGAGGAGACATGAAGCTCTCCCGATGTGATTGCCGGGTTACCTCTGTGATGACTCTTCAAGCCGCTGCGCCTGGGGTTCTGGGGTTTGTATCTGCTGCAGCGATGCTTGGGTAGGTCCAGCCACACTCTGCTGCTTGTTAAAGCAAGGGTGTAAGCCCCGCGTGTGGGGAAATACCTTGAAGTTGCATGCTAGCTGAACAGCAAACGTGAACTCTGTAGTGCCTGGGTGGTTGTGAGTTATTAAACTTCTCCTGAGGGTGCCCAAGCAAAGCCAGGACTTCCAGTCCTGCTTCCCTGCAGCAGCAGCGTCTACTTCCTTCAAAAGGCATGGGATTGTTGGGATTAAGTGTCTTCCTGCCCTGAGGAGAACGGCTGTGCGTCTTGAGTGTGAAGCTTGCTGTGGAAATGTGTGTAGGGGCAAACTAATTGCTGGCTAGATGAGATAGGGATGTTTTCTCGGAGGGTTTGAACGCCATTATTGGCAAAGAAATGTTTGGAGTGCTGCGGTGTTCTGTACCAAACCTTCTCCCTGCTCTCTAGCCCTGCTATCCCGACTCTTGTGGCTGTTGGATTTCTCCCAAGCAGCCTGCTGTCAGGGCACCGGGAAGGTATGTGTTTACCCTGAACATCAGCCAGGGTCTTGATGAGCAGAGCTCCTCGTAGCAAATGGAACGACGTTCCAGCCTCTGCAGCGGAGGTAGGGCAGCTGCTTGAACCTCCCTCTCGGCGTGTGGGACACTGCCTCTTTCAGAGGAGCAGAATGCCCCGAGAAACCAGGGCTCTGACCAGTGACCGTGTTGTGGGCTTTCAGTTGCCAGTTTTTGATAGAAGTGACGTTGTGTGGTGGTAAGAGAGAGACAATGATTTTGACTTCCCTTCCTCCCAGTTCTCATGCAATACCCTAATACTGAAAAGGACAGGGGTTTGATTTGTGCTGACTTGTCTCTTGAATTCATGGCTTATCGGGGAGGCGTCTATACCAGAGACAGTATCAGGAAAAATCTGGGCTTCCCGTACGTGTACTGTCCTCACCTCGGACTAAAGAGACTGGTGTCATCACTGCCCTGCGTATTGCTATGGAGATGAACGTGTCAGACTGAGCCTCTACAAAAAAAGCTGTGGGAGATACAAGTCTGAGAGTGCACCAAAGTCCTTAAATAACTTTTTGCATGCTAACCCCTTCTTCCGACAGCAGACAGTGCTATTGGAACAATAATTCACTGTTCTGGTCAGTTGTGCTTCTCCAACACTAGTAACAGGCTTGGGTAAAGGCTTCCGAGACCCCATCAGATGCCCCCTGTGTAGCATGGAGAGCAAAGTTTCAGTGTTGGTGAGCGCTGCTAAACACGAGTGTGCTGCGAGGCGTGGGTGTGGAGGGAGGCTCTAACCAGTAAGTTAGCAGACCTGACTTGTACAATGATGATCTCGGGAGCCATGCCGGGTACGTCTGCCCATTGGGAGCATTGAACCATTGCTGCTCTTAACTGCTAGTTTCTGAGGCTTGATCTGGTGTGTTCCTTTGGGTTGGATTTAACGTCAACCTTCAGGCCTCTTCCAAGGGATGAGCGGTGCTGAAGTGCTCTTTGCAGCTCTGCTCTCACCTGCTGCTTGGTACCGGTGGCTGTTGCAGGCCTGGCAGTGCGCAGGGGCAGCACGCCCTACCTCCAGGACTCTGGCTTTCTGGAAGTATAAGATAAATCGGAACCAGTTTGTCTAGTTTAACTTTGGGATCTGCATTTCTTGAGCAGTGCCTGGCCTGAAATTAGCAGGGTGTCATCAGAACTTGTGCGTCTGTATTGGCAGGAGGCTGGCTGCGCTGTGCCGTGAGGCAAGCAGGCTGTTCCCCTCTGTGCCCATGACAGGCTCCTGGCTGAGCCCGGGCAGGTTATTTGCCTCTTTGCTTTAGTTTCCCTTCCCCGCGGTGGGCGTTTCCCGATGTTTGAAGCTGAAGCTGTGTGAAGAGTGAAGGTAGGTCCCGTTTGCTGACTTGGCGTGAACATGCTTGCTGTCTAGTGAGTGATCAAATAGACAATACAGCACCTGAACCTGGTTTCCTCAAATATCTCTGAGCCCTTGTGCTGGTGTGCCTTTCTGCCCCAGCTGCATCATCCTGCCCTAAACTTCTCTGTCCTAGGGGTGGGGACGCTGTGCCGTGCCCTGTCCTGCGGGTCAGGGCCATGGGGACGTAGGACTGCCACCCCTAATGACTTCTGCTGCTGCGCTGGGCTAGCTGGCATCACGAAGTAATGCGTTTTGGTCAGTCCTCCCCTTGGGGAAGGCTCTGTCCCGGTGAGCCCAAAGGCTGGTGTGATTCACAGGGGAAACCTGCACCCTGGTGATGCGTCCTCCAAACCGAGTGCTGCGCCCGAGCCGGGGGGCCTTGCTGTGCTGCACCCGGGGATGGGTGCTCAGACCCAGCTCCCAGCGCTCCTGGCCGAGTCCTGTGCCGGAGTGTGGAGGGCAGCGAGAGTGGCTGTAAAACAGAGCTTAGAAACTTGGGGGTGAGGAATGGGAGGGCAGTTAATTTGTAACTGGTGTGCTTCGTGTGAGCCAGCAACTGATGTGCTGGTCCTGGTCCTGTGCTAATGAGCTTGGCAAGCTCGCAGCTGCTTGTCTGCTGTTCTCCCAGCCCCCGGCATGGGCCAAGCAGCGAGCCTGCGGATGCAGCCCACCGAGGGGGACTGAACTGAAGTGGGGGAGCATGAGGGATGGCTCTCTTACAGTGAGTGCCTTCCGAAGGGCCAGCGAGCAGCTTAGTTCCTTGCTCGTCTGGCAAGGCTGCCTGTAAGGTGGTGGTGCTGCTCTGCCCAAAGCCGATTACAGGTCCATTTTATCAATGAGGTGGCTGGATTTCTGCTTAACAGGGGTGCTCAACCAGGTGTAAGCCAGGTGTCTTGCTCCTGCTTCTGGGTTAGTCTTGTGCATCCTGCTACATCCGAGGAGATTTTTTTTTCCTTTTGCAAAAGAGGAGGGAGAACCCAGTTACTTCTGGGGTTTGAAGTAAACCCTGCTGGGCAGGAGAGGAGTGTGTGAATGGTAGCAGTGGCTAGCTGCAGCTTACTCTGTTCAGAGGGCGGCCACTTTGACTCTTCATGGAGTACAGCCCAGGAAAGACAGAGCAGTAAAATCTGCCCCTGCTTTGGAAGTTCCTCTTCATATGCTCCGTCGCAAGGAAGACTTGTTTCCCCTGTGAGCTGTCTGACCTCAGAGCTTAGCTGGCCTAATTCACCACTGCTTTCCTCCAGGGGAGGCTCTGTACTGCTGTGGAAACGAAGTAGCTTGTTCTTCCTCCTGACTGAAGGAGAGGTGCTTCCCTTTCCAGAGTCTAACATTGGATGAGATATTTGGTAGCGCCAGTGGAAAGCAGCTCGCTCACAATTTCAGTGCAGGTTGCTAACGTGGCATCAATGCTCTGATCATCTTCAGCCAGGAACCATCCTGAAGTGGGAAACCTAATGCAGGCTGCTTGCTGTGTTGTAGGCCTCCTCTGAGGTTAATACTTTGTGAACTGGGTGTTAGTGTTGAGGTTCACCTGAGGTAGCTGAACTGAACAAGCAAGCCTGCTTCCTTGAAAGTGCCTGGTGTGCCAGGGGAAATGGCCGGTGGCTGCCCCTCACCGCCCTGCGTGGTGGAGCAGCTCAGAGGCTCCTTGCTAGACTGCTCAGCATTTCATACCCATCCCTTTGCTAAGGCAGCTTCCCTCTAAAACCCCTCCCCAATTTTGCCTTTCAGATTGTCTCATCTCCAGCACTGACCAGCAATGCCATCAGCTATGGAGGGCTCGGAGGGGGGAGAAGAAGGGGAAATCCTGCGCTATGAGGAAACAGAAGATGACAATGTCAGGTGAGTCTTGTCTCACAACATGGCACAGACACAGTCTTGGGCAAGGCAGGAGGCCTTCCAGGTAAAGGAATGATCTTTCTCCTCATCTGAAAAGGAGTGAGGGACTCCAGTAGGTGATTAATCAAATATATGTGCAGTAAAATCTGTTTAATCAAACTGTACTGGAAGGGTGGAAGGGATGGGAAGGAGCGATCTGGCTAGGCTGACAACAAGCAGTTATTTTTTTAGTCTCTACTATCAAACTCACATTTCAGAAATGCTTTGACCATTAGGCAGTTGTGTTTGTGCCTTCCTGGCCAAGGTGAGCCAGTTTTCCGTGGCTTGCTGGACAGTCTCATGTGATAGCAGCTTCTTGTTTTGAAAGATGACTCTAGAGGTGAACTCTGCTCCAGTGAGCTGCCTCTCTTGCCTTTGCAGAATACCCACTGGTCTAGGCAAGAATATTTTCTTGGAGGGTAGTTTAAAAAACAAATTCACACGCATGCTCTAAAAGCCAAGGCTTCAGACTTGGAAAATGGGAAGGGTGAATAGGGTGCTTCCCAGAATACCTAGATAGGCTGGTTGACTTCTCTTTGACTTGACAGGCTCAGTTTCATGAGAAGTTAATGCTACCTGGCTCTCCCGGCACATCCAGGCCTCGTCTAGCCTGCTGGCTGCAGTGTTCAGCCACTCAGTGGGTCTGGAGTGTTCAAAGTCTGTCTCTCTTAGAGCTAACAGAACACGCCATCTGCAGCAAACTAGTCATAAAAACTGTAAGGTGTGCTTTGGCATAATTTTGAGTGAGTGTAGGTGTTGATAACTCTGTACCAAACTCCAGGTAGGTGCAGTGGCTGTAACCTAAAATCACAGATTTATGTTTGGTTTTTTTTTTTTAGAAAGACAACTTGTGGAAACCTGCAAAAGCAGTATAATTCAGGATAAATAAATTTTTTAAGGGTGTTCTTGCCCTGTTTTGCCATTCAGCTCTCATCTCTTCTCCAGCAGTTAATACCCAAGTTGGAAAAGCTAGGGTCCTGCCTCTGCATGCATCTGCTCTTAGCTGAGCCTTTCTCCTTCTCCAGAGTGACCACGGAGGACACCACCAAGGCTCCTGTGCCCTTTAGCCTGCCCTGGTAGTTGCTCTTCATATGCTCAAGGCCTCCTTTTGTAGTATTGTTGGGGCTCACATGGATGGAGAAGCAAAAGTAATGGTGCAAGGATCAGAGGATCCTTGGCAATTGCTTCAGCATCCTGGGTCTGAGCCCCCGGTAAGCCCCAGCCCTCCCAGAATGGCAAGTCTGGTTGGCACACGGGCGCCCGCGTCTGCGGAAGGAGCCTCTGGCTGCTGCCACCCTGCTGCTGCCTCCCGGTGCTGCCAGCCTGTGGGGCTGGCCTGAGGGATCCCACCTTGTACCTTCTCCAAACTGGGCCTGAGATGGTAGGAGTGGGGGGATCCCTCCAAACACAGCAGGGACAAACTCATTACTGCGCGTGGAAGTGGGGTGAAAGGAGCTCTCCCTGTTTGCCTGCAGTCCCACCGACCTTTCAGAGCTGCTGAAGGAGGGGACTAAGGAATCCCACGACCGTGCGGAGAACACTCAGTTTGTCAAAGACTTCCTGAAAGGACGGATCAAGAAGGAGCTCTTCAAGGTGAGTGCTGCTCTGCTCCCGTGGCAGAGAAGCTCTTTGACATACCCAGTGACAGATGCAGACTCTGAGGCAGAGCCCCACAGCTCTGTGTGTAGGGGATGGAAAGGAATCCAGTTTCTACGTGGTGTAGTCAAAACTACAGGAGGGCCCTTGTCCAGGACTTCTGCCTGGTGTATCCTACGGCTGGGACCCAGGGGGGCGAGGAGCGTGCTGGCCCAGCACAGGTTTGATTCGGTGAAATGCTGGGCTTCTGGCCACGCATCTGCTGGCCGCTCAAGGCAGGTGTGGCTGCAGCACAGATACTGGTGGCATTAGGCTGTTCAGGAGCGAAATCCTGGTGAGATTACAGCACTTATGCCATCCTCTGAAGACTAGGCTGTTTTCCAGAGACTTCAGGTTGGATTGCTTGCTCTTCTGTAAGAGCAAGGGGTCTGGGCAGCACTGTCTGATCCTGAAGGTCTTGGCATATACAGGCGTCTCCTGTAGCACAAGGCTGTTGGTGCTAGCTGTACCTTTTGGGTGAAGTTTGTCCCTGTGCCTTGCTCTCAAGGTGACAGGAGGCCCAGAGCACACAGCTCTCAACGTTTGATTAATTCTTAGCTCGTGCTCTGTAGGCATTGTTATGAACGTAGAGAAGAGCCTCTGATCCTTCAAGTGGTACGTGCCTGGTACGGGCTCTCCAGGCTGGTTTTGTGTCAAGCCTGGGGGGTTTCCTCCCTGTTTACCCCAACTCCACGAAGGGGGGGCGGTAGTCACAAGGTGTGATGTGCCAATCTAGCGAATGGCTTCTGACACTAGCTGTGCTTTGTCCGTAGCTGGCCACCGTGGCACTTTACTTCACGTACTCTGCGCTGGAAGAGGAAATGGATCGCAACAAGGACAACCCAGTCTTTGCTCCTCTGTATTTCCCCCTAGAGCTTCACCGGAGAGAAGCATTGGTCAAAGACCTGAAATATTTCTATGGAGAAGACTGGAAGGAGAAGATCCAGTGTTCAGAGGCAACTCAGCACTATGTGGACAGAATCCATCACGTGGGACAGCACGAGCCAGAGCTGCTAGTGGCTCACGCTTACACACGCTACATGGGGGACCTCTCAGGTGGCCAAGTGCTAAAGAAGGTAGCCCAGAGGGCCCTGAAGTTACCCACTACTGAGGAAGGGATCCAATTCTACATGTTTGACAACATTTCCAACGCGCAGCAGTTCAAGCAGCTCTACAGAGCGAGGATGAATGCGCTGGAGTTGGACAAGAACACCAAGGAAAGGATCGTGGAAGAGGCCAACCGAGCCTTCAGATTTAACATGCAGGTACTAAATCCCTTGAGCCCCTGTATGTGTAGGTGCTGCTGCTTTTGGGTCTGGACCAGCTCTTAGGCCCAGGTTAATTCAGACTGCTCATCCAGGCAGTGGTTTGGGTCTGAGACCGCCAGAGCCCCTCCTTCTCGGAGGGATTCTAGTTTGAATAGCTCTTCTGCGAGCTTCTGGAGACGTGGCTGGTGCTGGGTAGGAATTCCACCCATACTCCAACGCCACGGCCGAGCCTTTGATTAGGGCAAAATTAAGATGACTTCGCTACAAGATTCCCGTGGGCTGTGTGGCTCTGAAGCAGCGGGAGGAGCAGAGCTCTCGCTCCGAGACAGCCTCAAACGGCTTGAGCATATTGCACCACACTGGTGCATTCATCTCCTGTCTCACGTCTGACATGTTGCCCAAAGGTGTCTGTAGCCTCTTGCTCCTTCCCATAGTCTTTGCCTTTCATAAAACCTGACTGAGCTGCCACTTGCCCCAGGGGGATGAACGTAGTCTTAGCTACTGGATGGAAGCTTTAATCTCTGCCTGTAGCAGGTCGGTGTGGTTTAAGCTGGCCAGAAAGGCGGTGGGATGTGGTTGGCTCCTTTGTCAGGATCCTTACGGAAACCCCTGGCAGCAGAGCTGGAGGGGCTGCCTGAGCACTGCACCAACAGGAGGAGTGATCCCCAGGGAGGGTCCGCAGCAGGGAGGGGGGAGCGCCGAGGCACGAACCCACCCGCAGCGGGCTGGGAGGCGGACAGCGGGGTGATGCTGCATCTGTCTCGCTCCTGGGTCTGACTTGACGCTCTTGGAACGGGCTGTGCCTCCTCAGAGCCGTAGCACGTGCCAGTTGTCACCACAGGTCTGCCTGCAAGGCGCTCCGAAATGAGTAGCCCGTGCTGTCTTTGGGGGGAGGGAGGCAGGAGTGGCTCTCGCCTGTTCTCCCGATCGTTCCAGGGGTCCGGGTGAAAGCTGCCTGGCTCTGCCTGCTTCACGTACTCTCTGTGACCACTTGCAGGTATTTGATGAACTGGATAAGCTTGGCAGGTCGCTGACAGAAGAAGCCCAAGACGGAGGCTTTCCAGTCCACGGTGGAAAAGGAGACCTACGCAAATGCCCTTACTATGCAGACAAACTGGGTAGGTCGTGGGCAACGACAGAGCTGCCGCACGCGTGCGGCGCAAGACTCGCAGCGCTAACGGTGCTTTCTGTGTTCTAGCAGGCAAGGCAGGGCCCGGCTGCCCCTATCAAGCTGCCGCGGCCCTGGCAAAGCAGCCCCTAGTGCAGCTGATCCTGGCGGCCTGCGTCGCTGTGGCAGCAGGAGCTGCAGCGTGGTACCTCATGTGATGCGGAGAGCGGCGCGTGGCTCTAAATGGTGGCGAGGGGAGAGACGCGCCCCGTCCTTCTTCAAACTGTTCCCTTGCTGGTGGTGAGTTGACTGCAGGGTAGAAGTAAGAAAATAAACAAGAATCCTGCGGGACTGTCAAAGACTCTTGCACACCAGTAATGCAAGCACTGTAATGTAATGTCTTTAGCTGACTAGCGTACAGGACTGATCCGCTGTGAGGATTCCACTTCAGCACTGCCCTACCCAGGCTGGGGCAGCTTTTAAGTCTAGAGATGTCTTGTCCTGTACTGGCAAAGGCTTCACATGCTTGGCTTTTCATCTCCTTCCCGGGGAGCAGTCGCTGGAGACAGTTTCCTGCCCTGGGCTGCGACCCTAGAAGGTGTCATCGGTCTTCTCAGTCAAGAGCACTCGCTTTCCTACCCTGAGAAACTGATGTGTCAGTCGTGCTCCAGTGGCTGTGCCATGGGGCCGTTAGCTGGAAGTGGGGTGTCCTGGGGCACCAAGCCTAACTCGGGTTGGAGGAAGCTCCCTGGGGGTGGGGACAGGACCAGGTACGTGGGTGGGGGTGTGAAGGCAGTCAAGAGCACTCGCTTTCCTACCCTGAGAAACTGATGTGTCAGTCGTGCTCCAGTGGCTGTGCCATGGGGCCATTAGCTGGAAGTGGGGTGTCCTGGGGCACCAAGCCTAACTCGGGTTGGAGGAAGCTCCCTGGGGGTGGGGACAGGACCAGGTACGTGGGTGGGGGTGTGAAGGTGACAAACGTGTATTGTTCAACATTGGGGTCGGGGGTTGGGTGGTTGGTTTGGGTTTTTGCCTTGACTGGAATAAAAAGTTGCAATGCTGTAGCTGGGGAGAGCCCAACGCGCCTCACGGGGAGAGTGAGTGAACTGGGCCACGAGGTGTGGGTCTGTGTGGGGGAGGTCAAGGGGGAGGAGCGGAGGGGGTACAGACTCCCAGGCTGTTGTACTTGTCTCTTTCTGACTCGTGCAGTCCCGGAGATGCTCCTGCCCTTGCCCCCCCCCCCGTCCCTGCTGCCTCCCCTTGGCTTTCCCCCAGCTCCTGGGGGGAGGGGACCCACTGCCCCTGCTCTGAGGGCACAGCCAGGCGCTGCGGGGGCCTGGGCCTTTCCCCGGGTGAGGGGGCTCCTGCTCTGCCGGGGGCGATGCTTCCCTGGAGGCAGGGGAGGTGCTCTGGGGTCACACAGCTGCCCCTCGCTCTCTGGTTGCTGGTGCTGTTCTGGGCCTCAGGAAGGACCTGGGTCTGGTGACAGAGGTACCCCTCTGCCTTCCTCCAGCCCAGTCTTGGGGGGCGTTTCCCCCCTTCAGCTTGGGCACAAGGAGAGGGGCTGCCTGTGTGGCAGGGCTGAGGAAGCCCCAGCTGCAGCTGAGGGGGGGGGAGGGGAAACTCCCCGTTC